AAGGTTTATTTTGGGGCTTTTTATGCGGTTATTACAAAGTCAGGACAGTGGATGGAGACAGAAATAAGGGAGAGATAGAGGGAGAGGTGATTGACATGCGGGAAAGGAGACAAGGGTTGGTTTCCTATTCGTGCCACCAAATTTGAGGACTATAGTCTCCGTACATAAAATGCGTAAAGTAACCAGTAGGCCACTGCCACCCCTTCTTCATCATTTTAGGCATAATTTCCAAATTTCTAGCACAAAAATCTTTTTGATGAATGATCTGTCATGTCCTGGTTGCATATTCACATTTAGTCAAGGAACTTCTGCCTCTAATTAATTAAACAAACTTATTTATCTTTAATTTCAGTTGTTAGTTGGAAGTCTATCCTATTTGGGAGTAGTATAGCCACAACCCTCTTACAGCCTGATTTGTGGGAGAAATAAAATGTGTTCACAAACTTTGCTTTGAGTGTGATTCATTTCCAGTGCCAGGTTACTCCTCTATTTCTCGACACGCTGCTCCGCATCCTCAACTCCTGTTGTTGTGGTTTTCAGGTCCTCCCTAATATCTCCCGGGGCCTGGTTAATCTCACGTCTGTACTCTGTCAAATCATTTTTAACATTCTCTCTTAGTGTGCGATAAAAAGCTGTCATTCTTTACATCGGCACGTATTACCTTAATGTCAATATATTAGCCAGTAAGTTAGCTCCGGTATGCTCGAGTCCACCTATGCTAGGCGAGTTAGCATTTATTTCTTTCGTCATTCTTCATGGCCATCTACTTGTTTTTCTCTGATCTTGTATTTGGTTTACATTAACAATTTTTGTGTTTCTTCCCTTCCACATACCATGAGGTGTTTTTACTTGTTAAAAAACTTGAATCTGGGGAAAATTCCTGGTTAGTGGGAGAGCAGTCTGTCAGCCTGCCATCCTCTGCAGATGGGCCAACCCAAAGCCCTCTGGAAGTTCTGCATTGTAAATATTTTATATTAAACAAGAAGGGAAAATGAAAAGGTCCAAACTTTTAACTTTTAAGCCTCCAGTTCTCTGTCAATGTTTCTCTTAGTGTCAGAGTTAGAGGCCTAATTAATCAATCCATCTTTATTTGTAAAGCACCAATTCTTAACAAGTGTTATCTGCAGACACTTTAAAACACCGAGCTGACCATAGTTGTATGACCCAACAAAAATAATAAGATATACTTTGTTGTCCCCAAAAGGACATTTATATTGGACTGGAGTTACAAGAGAATAACAAATAAAATACTAGGGCTGGGCAAGTTAACGCGCTATTTTCGCGTTAACTCATCGATTAATTATCGCTGACAATTATTTTATCTCGCATTAACGCAGTTTTTATAATTTATTTTCTTATTGTAAAAGTCTGTTGCTCACTGGCTTTTATTTTGTAAAATTCCATCGTGAGCGAGCCTAGTATGTTGCTTACTGCTGCGCGTGACTGCTGCGGCGCACACAGGAAGCAGGAAACAGTCAGAAAAGAATTGGCGGAAACAGTCAGAAAAGAATTGGCGGAAACAGTCAGAAAAAGAATTGGCGGATAATCAAGCATGGAGAAGGGTACGGAACTTTTATAAGGCCATTTTCATTTTAAAGTTCTTCCAGATGGCGCAGTCGACAGAGCCGAAGTTATTTGTAACCACTGCGAAGTTGAATTTTCTTATCACCGTAGTACTTGATAAGTAGGCTACTCCAAAATATGTTGCAGCCAGAAACTCAGGCGGACGCTAAAAGGTCGTTTCACTTGTCTTCACTTTATTTAAGCGTTTATCAAAGACGCAGTACCTTCATTCACTCTGCCTACGAGTCTCTTCAGCTGCTCAATAATAACTACAACTTTCTTGCTAACTCCATAGCGTTACAACAACAACACTCTTCTTCTCTTAACTCCTGCATGTCACTGTTTCTCACTCGCAGACTTGTGGCGTAGATTATGCAGCGCATTTAATTAATAACAAGTCAACATCAACTGCTTGAATAATGTTGCAGTTCAGAAAAATACATTAACATTAGCAACTTTGAAGATGAATTCAAAAAGATTATAAACTAAAGAATTTCAAAATGACAAGTACAACAAAAATGTGTTTGTGGGGTCCCCGATAACCAAACAATCAACATCAATGTTCTCAATTGACCTGTCACACTCTCCCCCACTTTAAAAATGGCGTCCCGACATTTTCATTATACCGCTTAGCCTAAAACCTTTCTGGGCAGTTTTTTTTTATATAACAAACAGGATGACATTATGCCCTTGCAATGGCAATAAGCTTTAGTTTTGTATTTATTTGCTTTGATTACATTGTTTAAGTTGAGAAGTACATTTACAATAAAAGTGCGCTATACGCTACTTTTTAATTCATTATTGGATTTTGCGTATAACAATGCGATTAATCGTGATTAATCACAGGAACTCATGCGATTAACACGATTAAAACTTTTAATCTTTAAAACTTTTAAAAACACCTTTTTGCAGCAGTAACATATTGGCATATTGCACTGACCCTGGGCACATCCTACATTACCTGCTATTCAGAATGTTAACGGACATTGGCACAAATGAATGTTTGTAACTGTTCACCCTGGTCTGAGGGACCCTGAATCTTCTCCTAGAGCGTCAAAGCTGAAACTCAGAGTAAAGATTGTGGGTAGGATCAGACACTATTTTCTGTGCCTGTCTAACAACAGGCTGCTCATAGAGTGTTTGGAGAGATGGATGTTTTTTGACACCCATGATTTTCAGAGCAGTCTGCACAAAACAAGTTATCTGTGATTTTAACTGAACAGACAAGTGACAGTACCACGCTGTTATCCCTTATCTGATCATGCTTTCACAAACAGCATTGTAGAATAACAACATGAATTTCTGCTGAACGCCAGAGACTCTCAAACTGCCTAAGAAGTACACGCTGTTGCAATCTAGAGCAGAGACTCTCAACATGAGTCCTCCAGCTGAGAGTGTTGTCAATATGAACCATGAGATACTTGTAAGAGCAGACATGTGTGATGGGTTCCTTGTAGATGACCACAGGCCGATGATCACCCACTCGCCTGGGATCAAACACCATCTCCTCGGTCTTTTTAATATTTAAAACAAGGTAGTTTCTATCACAACAAAGCACAAAATATCTCTACCTCAGAGTGATGAAAAGAAGGACTGCTGTCTCTGTGCATTAGGCTCAGGAGAGCTGTATCATCCAAGAATTTAATGATGTAGCTCTCTGGATAGAGTATGGTGCATTCATTGGTGTACAGAGGGAAGAGAACAGGAGAGCTGACACAACCAGTCTGGGCTGCGAAAGGGCATTATTCACACTTGAAGCACTTGGTCCTTTCGCTCTTGGTTCCATTAGTTAAAAAAGAAGAGTACCATTGTAAAATAAAAGGGTTAGCACTCTCTGTTTCAGTTTCTGCATCAGCCAGTGAGGTTGTAGTGTGTGAAAAGCTGAGCTAAAATCAATAAAAAAGTAAGCGTGGATAAGCCTTGGGATCTTCCAGGTGTTTAGTGACCAGGTGTGTGATGCTGTTAATAGCATCGTCTGTGCCACGCCCCTTCTTGTAAGCAAACTGGAAGAGATCTAAAAGTGGGTCTGCTTCTGTTCTGAGCCAGGAGATCATGATCCTCTCAAAACATTTCATAACTATGGGTGTAAGGGCTGAAAATCATTATTTGACTTAGGACAAGGTTTTCTAGGTACTGGTTTAATAATGGACTTTTTCCAGAAGGTGGGTACTGTACATAAATCAACAGATTTTTGGAAAATTGGGCAAAATGCTGATGTTAGCTCTTCAGCATGTCTTAATCAAAAAAGTAGAGATGCCATCTAGTGTGCCTGAAAAGTGATTGAACTTTGCACGGTTCTATCACCAATTGCGCATCCTGGTCATTACAGGCAGTGTCTCTAAAACAGCAGATGAAAAGTCATTTGTTTCAAATCGTATATAAAAATCATTTAATTCATTGGCTTTTTGCAAGTCATCAGAAGTGCCCAAACATTTTTTTGCAGTGGCCATATTAGTGATTGCCTTCATACTGTCCCAAAGTTTTTTAGAGTTCATAGCTGAAAAGTTTTGTTTGTAACAACGCAGAAGTAGAAGCAACAGAGTCCGCTACACGACGCTATAATGAGAATATTTGCCTTTATATCAATGCTATGTGTAATCCAATGGAATGACAACATTCACAAAAGAGAGGAGAACAACATACTGATGAACAGAAAACAGAATGCAGCCGTTTAATTACGTGCACGGAGATCGTAGTGGTCGCGTGCAGTCACTTTAGCCGGTCACTATATAAACATCACTCGGGTCCCATTGGCTCAAATTGAAAATCTTTGGAGTATATGCGGCCGCCACTACGCTTCTTTACTTTTGCAGTATATATTCAAATTTGTAATATTCTTTGACAGCCCTGGTATGTGGAGCTCCCACTGTGCCTAGTCTGATAAGAGCTTTGTTTTGTTTTCAAAGAGCTCTGAGGGCCACCAGAGAAGAGTCCTGCAGTCTAACATCCAATTCAGTGCAAACACTTTTTTGATTTGATTTGTGTTTTCTTTATTGCGTTGTGTTTCAGATAAACAGAGCACGTTAGTGCTTTACAAAGAGGACAAAGGTGAATATTTAAATCAAAATAACAAGTCAAACCACAAAACACATGTTGGGACATGCAGAATCCAGAGCATGTTATTGAAACAAAAAAGGCTGTAAGTTAAAAGAATGGTGTGCTTTAACATAATGAATGCACTGAAATCTGTGATGCTGTGAACATGGTTAAAGGGACATGAAGGTTTTTGTTCCTTCTTGTAAAACTTCTGGATGCCAATGAAAATAAAATTGGAAGAAGAAACAAAAAAGGCATGACAGCGTCCGTGCATCGCCTGGAAACTCAGAGGGGAAGACTGCATGAGGTCAATAAAACCTGATGTTTGGACATTTTGACACGAGAGGAAGAATCTGAAAAGGGTTCCAGTTTTCATTCTCATGAAATAAGAAATGAGAGGGTTTACATCCAACAAGAAGAACCTTCCTTTTTTATTAATATTACTAAAAACAGAAGGCAAATACAAAGAATTAACATTAAGACTTCCTTGTTTTGTTAATAAAAAAAACAGAGCTAGACTTTGGTAGTTGCCGTAATTGGACATCCTCGAGTCTTCAGAGCCACCAGCACAAAGTTTCTTGGAGATAAGTTTGGGTCAAAGAGAGGAACCAGCTGACTGTCCAGGCCTGCAGAAAGAAGGGAATTTAGTGGAACTGGAAATAGAAAGAGATGAAATGATACATATACATGGTTCCACCTCATATATAAATACAGTGTTCTGTAGAGAGTGATCTAACAGCTGTTTGTGGTTAAAAACAAAAAGGTCTCTCTCTGTAGGGATCCTTTCTGTAATGTTGTCACACACTTAGAATAATAACCTGAGCCTGTCAGGGGAAAAAAAGAACAGCTTTGAGTGGACACTCTTTGATCCATCAACCATTATGTTGCAGATATTACAGATCTACATGATCAACTCATCTACTGAAGACAATTAGAAACCTTATTTGCAGCAGCTCACCGTTCTCCTGCAGGTAGATCATCCTGTCCAGCAGGACCAGCGTCTCCACCACAGGAGCCAGCAGCAGGACCAGACTGAAGTACACCACCACCCGCCCCTGCTGCTTCAACATGGCCTCCACCCGCTCCGGGTCCAAAGGCAACCCAGGAGGCAGGCCAACACGAGCAAAGCCCAGACGAGCGTACCTGAGAGGGAACATGGATGTTAGTGGCCAATTTACCTCATTTGATATTCAGCTCTAGAAAAAATGAAGAAAGATCGTTTCCTTAAATCAGCATCTCTACATGCATGGAAGCTTTGATCCAGTGGTCAGTATCTGACCTAACTGTAACTCTAGGGCACAAGTATTTTATGTTTATCTTTTATTCAAGAGTGTGCTTCATTGAAACACATATACACCTCATTCTACCTAAGGACTGATTGGATTAATTTTGGGTCTTCCTGAGTACTGCTGAGGAGCTGTTTGTGAATGTATGTGATTCAGGCCTATGTGTGTGAGAAACATGTCTCTCAAAATAACAGAGTGTAAAACAGAATTTCCCTTAGGAATTAATAAATTATTATTTTTTTAAAATCACCTTATAAGACATCAAACGAAGCCAGACTGATTAAAGCTGTAGCTGCAGTGTGTACTCAGTGTAAACTGTAATAAGTCAAAGATGCAGTGTGTACTTACTGTAAACTGTAAAAAATTAGGGATGCAGTGTGTAATGTAAACTGTAATAAGTGAAGGACGCAGTGTGTAATGTAAACTGTAATAAGTGAAGGACGCAGTGTGTAATGTAAACTGTAATAAGTGAAGGATGCAGTGTGTAATGTAAACTGTAATAATTGAAGGACGCAGTGTGTAATGTAAACTGTAATAAGTGAAGGATGCAGTGTGTAATGTAAACTGTAATAAGTGAAGGATGCAGTGTGTTCTCACTCTGTAAACGGTAATAGGTGTGCTTTCTTAATTGTCTGGATACCCGCCCTGCGCAGATCCGGCATTTTAACCCTGATGAAGGCCTCCAGTGCGGCCCGATAACAGTGCGTCCTCAGCAGCTCGCTTTCCTCCCGAAGTCTTTGTATGTAGTCATCGATAGCGTGACATGCCCCCTCCCGTGCCTTATAGGACAGTCGATGACCCGGCAGCCCTCGCACCCACGAGCTCATGGGATAACCGAACTCTGAGGAAGGGGAGTCCAGGCTTGGTGTCAGCAAAGCTGGCTGTTCCACAAGTCCTGGTGGAGTGGGGTTTTCTTTGGTTGTGATTTTCATGTAGCAACACGCCACAGAGGTGATGCCGTGTACATGAGGGCAGTTTACAAAGTGGCGAAGGAGGGTTGCACTGAGGTCACCGCAGGCGTGAAGACCAGTCAGGACAAAGTCTGGATATCCCCTAAGTTGGTTTGAGTCAGGATGTTCACCCTCCTGACAGAGTGTCTGCATATGCATGCAGCAGGAGCTGTCTTCACACTCGTTTTGTGACGTCATATCAAAGTCCAGAGAGTAAGATTCAGATCTTGTGGATCCCGGGTATGACAGAGTCTGGACCTCATCAGAATATTCATCTTGCTCAGAGCCCCGTAGTCTCTTCTTGCTGGGTCCAGATGGTATTTGAGGATGGTCTTTGACACACTCTGCAGTACTCAGCTGCTTCATGAAGTCCTTCCATGATGCCTTGGGGTTTACCCAACCTGCCACATGGCGAGGAGGCGACTGTGATGCTGGGACAAGAGAGGAACATTTCTGGAGGAGAAAAGTTTGTTCATTTTGGTGCTGATGGTTTGAAATCATTAACAAAAGGAAATAAAAACAAATTAAATATTCCTCTTTAACAATGAGATAATTTATAGTTTCATATTAAAACATACTTAATGGCTCACGTGTGAAAGAAAAAAACGAGAAGTCGCACACTTAGAATCACAACCTGAGCCTATCAGGGACCAAAGCAACAAACTTTGAGTCCATGTACTTTAAACCATCTAATTCACGCTTGATTTTTCATCAAGAAATCCAGAAAAATGCTCTGGATTCTGCATGCCCCAAATCTAAACGCCGATTGCTGATTTCGCCTTTAGCAGATTTGAGCCTCAGGTGTGAGTGTTTGATGTTCTGACCTGCAGATTTCAGTTTAAACAGATAAATGACTCCTTGTCGGATCACTGAGGTTTCCATTCAGACTGTTATAACCTGTGTGCATCAATCAGAAGTCATGATGATGCTAATCGACGCCAGATCCTCACCAAGTAACATATCTTTGTCACGCACCAAGAACAAACCTTTTTCTGGCATTCCTTCTCTAAGGCCAACAGTAACTGTCCATCAAACTTTGTCGCCATGGTAACCAAGGTTCGATCAGCTTCAATCGCCGTCACAGACAATCCAAGCCCGAAGGACAGGAAGCGAGACAGATGACCCTGTTCAGAGAATATTATTATGAATGATGTTAATTATATAACTAATAATCAAATACATTAACAATAATAATGATAATATAATATTCTACCTATCTGTTATACCTGTCTGTCTGTTCTACCTATCTGTTCTACCTATCTGTTCTACCTGTCTGTCTGTTCTACCTGTCTGTTGTACCTGTCTGTCTTTTGTACCTGTCTGTCTGTTGTACCTGTCTGTTGTACCTGTCTGTCTGTTGTACCTGTCTGTTGTACCTGTCTGTCTTTTGTACCTGTCTGTCTGTTGTACCTATCTGTCTGTTGTACCTGTCTGTCTGTTGTACCTGTCTGTTGTACCTGTCTGTCTGTTGTACCTGTCTGTTGTACCTGTCTGTCTGTTGTACCTGTCTGTTGTACCTGTCTGTCTGTTGTACCTATCTGTTGTACCTGTCTGTCTGTTGTACCTGTCTGTTGTACCAGTCTGTCTTTCTACCTGTCTGTCTTCTTACCTGTCCAGAGCCCACGTCCACGACTCTGCTGCAGCCAGTCTGCTCACAAAGCTGCTTCACCCGCTGAGGTAAAAACGGAAAAATGTCTTATTATTATTGTTTTTAATGTTGTTATTGTAATTATTGCTGTTATTATTATTATTATTAATAATAATAATAATAATAATAATAATGTTGTTATTATTATAGTTATGGTGTTATTGTTGTAGTTATGATTGTTGTTGTAGTTGTAGTTATGGTTGTTGTTGTTGTAGTTATTGTTGTAGTTATTGTTATTATTTTTGTAGTTATGGTTGTTGTTGTAGTAGTTGTTGTAGTTATGGTTGTTGTTGTAGTTGTTGTTATTGTTGTAGTTATGGTTGTTGTTGTTGTTATTGTTGTAGTTATGGTTGTTGTTGTTGTTGTAGTTATGGTTGTTGTTGTAGTTATGGTTGTTGTTGTAGTAGTTGTTGTTTTTGTAGTTATGGTTGTTGTTGTTGTAGTTGTTGTTATTGTTATAGTTACGGTTGTTGTTGTACTTATTGTTGTAGTTATGGTTGTTGTTGTTGTAGTAGTTGTTATTTTTGTAGTTATGGTTGTTGTTGTAGTTGTTTTTGTAGTTACGGTTGTTGTAGTTACGGTTGTTATTGTTATAGTTACAGTTGTTTGGTTGTTGTTGTAGTTATGGTTGTTGTCGTTGTTGTTGTTACACATCACTACTCTTACCCAAACCCTAACCTAAACAAGGTTTCCCGTACCGTGCCTAGCTGGCGGATCTCGTGCTGTTTCTTGGGTTTGACGTGTTTCCTGAAAGCATGTCCCAGCAGCGAGCTCTGACTTTGATTTTCCAGAAACTCGTCGGGTTTCGGCGAGTTACTCGCCCTGCCTTGCTGCTTTTTGCACTCTCTGGGAAATGCCAGAGCGTGAGCTGAGGCCCGAAACGCCAAGAGAGACAAAGGCCACACAAGTGGATATCTGAAAGGAGAAAAGTGAATGTTTAATTCCGAACCAGAATCAAGACCTTACGGTCTCTAAATGTACTATAGGAGGTAGAGCCTTCAGTTATCAGGCCTGCTCGTGGTAACTACAGTCTCTAAATGTACTATAGGAGGTAGAGCCTTCAGTTATTAGGCCTGCTCGTGGTAACTACAGTCTCTAAATGTACTATAGGAGGTAGAGCCTTCAGTTATCAGGCCTGCTCGTGGTAACTAAAGTCTCTAAATGTACTATGGGAGGTAGAGTCTTCAGTTATTAGGCCCCTCTCCTCTACAATCATCTACCAGCCGGGGTCTGGGAGGCAGACACACTCTGTACTTTTAAGAACAGACGTAAAAAACGTTCCTTTTTGATAAAACTTATGGTTAGGGCATGCTGCTATAGGCTTAGACTACCTGGGGAAAAGAGCTTCTATTTTTCCCTCTCACAAACCACATTTTTTCCTGGGAGCTCCTGAGCTCTCAGATCTTGTAGGTTCCTCAGGATTGTTGGTGAGGAAGGCCTGCTGCTATTGCTATTGTTCTTTGATGAAGGACTTTAAAACCAGCAGTACCTCCTCTCCTCTCCATGAGCAGCATCCAGTAGCAGCTCTGCAGTCTGCCGATAGGACAGGTGGTTCAGCGCCGACTGCCACGACTCAGGTAAGGTGTGCCACAGATCTTCAGTGAAAAACTCCTGAAGGGCGACAACACATCTGCAGTTGCTATGGGAACACCTCAATTACTATGGGAACACCAACATTTATAATGGGAACACCTCAATTACTATGGGAACACCTACATTTATCATGGGAACACCTACAGTTGCTATGGGAACACCAATAAACGGGTAGCTGTCACTGTGTGAGGTAAAATCAGCAGCGCTAAATGAATGTAAATGATGATGACATTAAATATGATTGCATGAATCTTTGCTGTTTTTTTGTTTTTAAATCAAATATCTAAAATGGAAAATCTAATGAAGCAGCAGAGTCCTCTATATGACGCTATAATGAGAATATGTGTCTTTCTGTCAATGCTATGTGTAGTTGAACAGAATCTCAATGTGAACTAAAGAGTGGAGAAGAACATCCTGGAGAACAGGAAATATAATGCAGCAGGTTCAGAGCACGGCGATGGTAGAGGTGGCGTGCAGACAGTCTATGGTCGTGAAGCGATCACAGGGAATAAACGTCACCACCCCCCTCCCACTCGCTCCAGATGAATTCTCCTGATTACATCCTGCTGCGTTCTCACATCAGCTCACTCTGACTTTCTGCAGAATAAATACGAGGAGGCTGGAGGAGAAACTCCGGGTGAAGAGAGAAACATTCAGCTCACATGACGCTCACTGATATTCTCATAGACTTCTCTTTAATAAGAACAATTATTATTTTAATTGGGGGGGGTTACCACGAACCTAACCAGAGATATGATGCTTTGGCAGCTTTGTTCATGAAACATTCAAGAACAATAAAGTTTGATAAATGGAATCCAGAGCCCCGCTGTGGTTTCTCTCACTCTTTGTCCAAATGTTGACTTATAATTATTATTAGTGGGACAGAGTTTATTATTGTTAATGTTGATATGTGACAGAGTTCACCTGCATTCTTAAAACAATAAATTACACAATAATAATTACACAATAATAATATAATAATATAATACAATATAATAAACACAATAAATTACACAATAATAATAATAATATAATATAATAAACACTATAAATTACACAATAATAATTACACAATAATAATAATAATAATATAATAATAATATAATATAATATAATAAACACAATAAATTACACAATAATAATTAAACAATAATAATAATAATAATAATAATAATAATAATAATAATATAATATAATAAACACAATAAACTACACAATAATATGTCTGTTTCTATGGTAACAAAGAAGTATTTTGAATAACAGTCAAAGCGTTGATCATGCGTTAACGCATCGCTCTTACGGACGTTTGTTGCCATGACAACGTGATGCGTTTAATGCTTTTTCTTTTTAAGAAACTCCTTTATTTTCAAAGCAACAAGACCCGAACACGGGCTGAACCTTCTGATACTCACGATAATAAAGGAGTCGGACAGGTGGGAGTACTGAGACAGGAACCAGGTGAGTCTTTTGGCGTGGGCTCTCTGCTGCTCCTGGGTCCGGGTCTGAGGGTTCTGAGGGGCCCCGGTCTGATGGGTCCGGCTCGGTGTGGAGTCCTTCACTGACATGGGGACCAACATGGGAGCTAATGCTAACTTCAGTTAACTTGATAATGCTGCGTTAAGTTTGTTTCTCCAGGTGAGACGAAGTGTTTCATAGATAGGTGATACGTTAACTACCCTACCGCAGAAGGTCCGGATTAGAGAACATCTCCACTTATAAAGCAAACCCCGCTTTTTTAAAATCTATTAATGCGTGTTTGAACCAGGTTTGAACGCTGAGCAGTTAGCCAAGAGCTAACCACAGCGTCAAATGGAGGATGCGTTCATGTGCTGCCCGTTAATCCCACCGTTACTGATCGGAGCTCGGGAGTCAAATTAAACCACATTAATCCACGTAACACAAACTCACTTTTAATACAATGTGTCTTTGTGGGGTCATAACAGGGATCAGTAAATAATGTGTCTAAGAGGGGTAATAACAGGGATCGGGCTAAATAATTCTCTGTGCTGTAATTAATAATTAGTACTCCATAGTATTTCAAATACCGGATTTCTAAATGTGTCTTTGGACGCATCCTAACCCGGATGTGGATTGTTTATTTTGAACAGGCTGGTGTGGTCGTCAGTGTGCAGCAGGTCTGGTTTTGTATATTTATGTATTTTTTATTGATTTTCTGTTAATTAAATTAATCTGTAACAACCGTAACGACCCGCCGATGTTTGTGAACATGCGCAGAAGGAATCTGCGTCACTTTATAATCATAACCTCAGAGTTAGCACAGACGTGCTAACGTTAGCTGCTAACGGTTAGGTTTAGTTACCTACTAAAGTGACATTTAACAGCTGTACATCAGGTACATCAGGTACATCAGGTACATCAGGTACATTAGGTACATCAGGAACATGAGGAACATCAGGGACATCAGGTACATTAGGAACATGAGGTACATCAGGAACATGAGGAACATCAGGTACATCAGGTACATCAGGAACATCAGGTACATCAGGAACATCAGGTACATCAGGAACATCAGGTACATCAGGAACATCAGGAACATCAGGTACATCAGGTACATCAGGAACATCAGGAACATCAGGAACATCAGGTACATTAGGAACATCAGGAACATGAGGAACATCAGGTACATCAGGTACATCAGGAACATCAGGAACATCAGGTACATCAGGTACATTAGGAACATCAGGTACATCAGGAACATCAGGTACATGAGGAACATCAGGTGCATCAGGTACATTAGGAACATCAGGTACAACAGGAACATCAGGTACATCAGGTACAACAGGAACTAGGGAACATCAGGTACATCAGGTACATCAGGAACATCAGGTACAACAGGAACATCAGGTACATCAGGTACAACAGGAACTAGGGAACATCAGGTACATCAGGTACAACAGGAACATCAGGTACAACAGGAACATCAGGTACAACAGGAACATCAGGTACATCAGGTACAACAGGAACATCAGGAACATCAGGTACAACAGGAACATCAGGTACATCAGGAACATCAGGTACATCAGGAACATCAGGAACATCAGGTACAACAGGAACATCAGGTACAACAGGAACATCAGGTACATCAGGAATATCAGGTACATCAGGAACATCAGGTACATCAGGTACATCAGGAACATCAGGTACAACAGGAACATCAGGTACATCAGGTACATCAGGTACATCAGGTGGAACTAGGGAACATCAGGTACATCAGGTACAACAGGAACATCAGGAACATCAGGTACAACAGGAACTAGGGAACATCAGGAACATCAGGTACAACAGGAACATCAGGTACATCAGGAACATCAGGTACATACATCAGGTACATCAGGAACATCAGGTACATCAGGAACATCAGGTACAACAGGAACATCAGGTACAACAGGAACATCAGGTACATACATCAGGAACATCAGGTACATCAGGTACATACATCAGGTACAACAGGAACATCAGGAACATCAGGTACATCAGGAACATCAGGTACATGAGGTACATCAGGAACATCAGGTACATCAGGTACATACATCAGGAACATCAGTTACATACATCAGGTACAACAGGAACATCAGGTACATCAGGTACATCAGGAACATCAGGTACATCAGGAACATCAGGTACATCAGGTACATACATCAGGAACATCAGGTACATACATCAGGAACATCAGGTACATCAGGAACATCAGGTACAACAGGAACATCAGGTACATCAGGAACATCAGGTACATACATCAGGAACATCAGGTACATCAGGAACATCAGGTACATCAGGAACATCAGGTACATCAGGTACATACATCAGGTACAACAGGAACATCAGGTACATCAGGAACATCAGGTACATCAGGTACATACATCAGGTACATACATCAGGTACATCAGGAACATCAGGTACATCAGGAACATCAGGTACATCAGGAACATCAGGTACATACATCAGGAACATCAGGTACATACATCAGGTACATACATCAGGTACAACAGGAACATCAGGTACATCAGGAACATCAGGTACATACATCAGGTACATCAGGTACATACATCAGGAACATCAGGTACATCAGGAACATCAGGTACAACAGGAACATTAGGAACATCAGGTACATACATCAGGTACAACAGGAACATCAGGTACATCAGGAACATCAGGAACATCAGGTACATCAGGAACATCAGGTACATTAGGAACATCAGGAACATCAGGTACAACAGGAACATCAGGTACATCAGGAACATCAGGTACATCAGGAACATCAGGTACATACATCAGGTACGTACATCAGGTACAACAGGAACATCAGGTACATACATCAGGTACATCAGGAACATCAGGTACATACATCAGGTACGTACATCAGGTACAACAGATACAACAGGTAAATAGGGTTAGGGTGTAGAGTTCACTTGTTTCTTTCATGCTCTGAACCAAGAGGCTTTAATTTCCTCTTTATTGGACCAGAAGTGCATAAGACTAAACTTACTCTGGTTTCAAATTTTAGGAAATAAATGTTTATTTAAATATCACATTCAGACACCTGGACAAAAGGTGTTGCGATAAAGTTAGACCTGTTGTTGTTGTTGTTGTTGTGATAAATGCTCCTGGTTTTATCACTGAGTCCTAACAAAGTTAAATGTTTTTAAATAAACAACATTAAAGGTTAACAGATTCTTGTGCTTCTCTTGTTCTTGTAAATTAGTATTTTGCATAATTCCCAGCATGCCTTGGGGTTAACCAGGTGACTGTGTTTTGGTCTGGCAGTCTTATAATTCAGTTTATGTTGTTCTCATTGGTTCTCTTGTCATGTGACGTGTACTGCTCTTCACTCTGTGTTTCTGTTTGTCTTTCAGAAGCCATGTCGGACGTCACGATCAACATGCAAATAGACATGACGATGTCAACGAGGGAACGACCTCAAGGGAGGGAAAACAAACAGTTTAAGAAGAAAAACTTTTCAAACCAAAGAGGTCGCACTGAGGGTAAATATAAACACACACAGAGAGGGAGAATGTCCCGACATAACCACATTCAGCATCAAAACGGAGCTCCAGCACAGCGTCCATCATTTCCTGCTTCTACCAACAACAAGTTCAATAATTCAGACGCTGGAAGCAGCGCGGCCAGCGCTCCATCGAGTAGCTTCAAACCTTCTACATCAGCACACAGTAAAGGAATCCCTCCCCTGATGAGTAGAGACAGCGCTCTACACAAGCCCTCAGTGTCAGCATGCAGCCTCCCTCCCTTCACCGCCACTGTCAAAAACAATGGCTGCCATGAAAAGCCGAAGGAGCGTGAGATCACATCAGCCTCCACCATCGCCTTCTGCTCGGTATCAGGCAGCCGTAAACAGACAAAGACGGCGGAGGGATTCCCCTTGAAGTACGTGGCTCTGGACTGTGAGATGGTGGGATCAGGACCAAAGGGGAGTATCAACCAGTTGGCTCGCTGCAGCATGGTGAACTATGACGGAGACGTAATTTACGATAAATTTATCATACCCAGTATGCCGGTCACTGACTACCGCACACGGTGGAGCGGCATCCGACGCTGTGACCTCGTCAATGCCACACCCTACGCCAAGGCCAGGACGGAGGTGAGGAAGTCATTAAAACAGATCGTTGTGTGTTAACTATTATCTTTCTAATCAGAAATATTATCAACAGGTAAGTCCTTTAAATGTTGAATAATCAGTCACCTGTCTCTGTGTGCCTGTGGAGCTTTGTTCTTAATGCGGTCCAAACTGAACGGCTTTAATGAGTCATCTCGTCTGTTGTCAGATATTAAGGCTGCTCATGGGGAAGGTGGTGATTGGCCACGCCATCCACAACGACTTCAAGGTCCTGAGTTACGTTCACCCCACCGCCATGACCAGAGACACGTCTCGAATCCCTCTGCTGAACCAGAAGGCCGGCTTCAGTGTGGGCGAGTGTGCCTCCCTGAAGAGACTCACCAAGGCCATCTTTAACAGAGACATTCAGGTAGGAGAACACCTGACACACGAGCTCAGGCTCTCGTGATCCGTCTGAACCTTGAACATCTCTGAAACTCTGAGAATTAACTGAACACTGATGTGAAACAGCAGCACAGGTTCATTCAGATGATTTCTACTCGAGGAAAACAAACAAACAGGCGAACTGGGTGAACGGGACCCTGACTGGGTGAAAGGGACTCTGATATTCTTAATCAGCGTCCATCAGATGTAAAAAGTGGGAGGAGAATGGGAGCTGTTAGTCATTCATCTGAATCTTTATTTGGTATTGAGATGAACAGTCAGAAGTTTGATCTGTCGTAGTAACGTCTCATAAGCGTCTAACCCTTTGACTACAGCATTACAGAGCAACACAACATCACCGTTCAACTTGACTCTATGACAACACCTTTCTTACATTATTAGCTTAATGAGGTAAACGCTCACTTTGTTGGGAGGTGTAATAAGTTGTTAATTATAATATTGTGTTGAAAGGTGATATGCTACACATTTCCCGTGTGTGGGAGGAATCCACCTGAGTCCATAGAGTCAATGGCAGAGACAAAGTGCAGCTCAGAGTAGTGATGTGAAAAGCAGTTCTTTTCAGTGAACTGAATCAGTAGAATCAGTTCAGTAAAGTGATTCGTTTAAAAGATTCATTCACTGAATCGTTCAGTACTTCTCTGCAGCTCTGTCTGTGAATCAGAATTTAATAAGCTGAAACACGGCCGAACGTTTAGTTCTGCTCACGATCGTACTGAGAACAGCCGGTGGTGAATAATAAACCAATGAGCTGAGAATTTAGTTGGATAAAGCTCCAGTTTGCAAA